GGGGTTTGGGGTGGAGGCTGACAGCTCGCGACCCCCCATGTAATAACCTCGTGACTCCCTGAGGGGTCCCGACCCCCAATTTGAGAATCCCTGGTGTAGACAGTTACTACAATACGGGGATAGGATCTCCCGTTGGTGTAGGTGATCCACTTCCCCAAGAGGTGGTAGCTAAATTGACAGAAGAATTCTTCCATTGACCTCGCACTGTCTACACCAGGGGTTAGGTTGGCTTACCTACGTCTCTGAGAAACATAGCTATGCTGATGTCCGTTGTCAGTGTAGACCAGTTTGCATTGCTGTATTCTTTGGCAGAGAGGGGTAATTGTTATTCCATAGGTTGCTGTTGGAATGATGCTTTTCTTTTCAAAGCCAACTGTATATGGGACAGATCCTGCTAGATGCTGAGTGCCTTTAAGTCCAGCTGTGGTCAAGGGAAGTTGATGGTCCTCAATACCTTATAGGATCCAGCCCCTGAGGCTGTTTAAAATTGTATTGTCCTCTTTGCAGTTCTCTTTTCTAGCATGTCTTCTGTGTGATATATTTGCAGCTCACACCAATTGAGCCCTGTGTGACTTCAGAGCTAGGATTGCCAACTTTCTAATTGCAGAAAACCGAAAATCTTTGCCTCGCCCCTGCCACGAGGCCCCGCCCTTGTCCCGCTCCTTCTCTGAGGTCCTGCCCCCACTCACTCCATTCCCCCCTCCCTCCCTTGCTTGCTCTCCCCCACTCTTGCTCACTCGCTCAATTTCACTGGGCTGGGGCCAGAGATGAGGCATTTGGGGTGCAGGAGGGGGTTGAGGTGCGGGCGGGGCCGAAGGGCTCTGTACTGGGGTTGGGGATGAGGGATTTGGGGTGCAGGAGGGGGCTCCGGGCTGTGGGGTGGGGCTGAGAGCTTTGGAGTGTGGGAGTGGGAGAGGGCTCTGACTGTGCATTTGAGCTCTGGGGTGGGGCCAGGGATGAGGGATTTGGGGTACAGGAGATTGGGACCGAAGGGTTCGGAGTGCAGGAGGGGGCTCAGGGCTGGGGCAGGTGGTTAGGGTGTGGGAGAGGGTGCAGGCTGCAGGCTCTGGGCGGGAGTTTGGGTGCAGGAGGGGGTTCTGAGATGGAGCAGGGGGTTGGGGCACTGGAGGGGGTTCAGGGTGCAGACTCCAGGCGGCGTTGATCTCAGGCAGCCCTGGGGACAGAGGAAGTCCGTATGGCTCCGGGAAGCGGCAGCATGTCCCTCCAGCTCCTAGGCGGAGGGGCATCGAGGGGCTCTGTGCACTGCCCCTGCCCGCAGGCGCCAGCCCCGTAGCTCCCATTGGCTGCGGTTCCCGGGAGCTGCACGGAGCCAGTCACAGAGCCTGCCTGCCCCACTGCGGCCAACCAGACTTTTAGCGGCTATGCTGACCGGAGCCGCCAGGGTCCCTTTTCAACTGGGCGTTCCAGTCAAAACCAGACACCTGTCATCCCTAGCCAGAGCCTGGGTCAACTGACTTGGGCTCATGCTGGAATCCAGGCCCTGAAACCCCACAAGGGGGAGGGTCTTAGTGCCCAGGCTCCAGCCCCAGCCTGAGCATCTGCACTTCTGTTTTTAGCCCTGCAGCCTGAGCCCCGTGAGTCTGAGTCAATTGAGCTGGGCTCTGAGACTTGGTGCCACAGGTTTTTCTTTGTAGTGTAGACAGACAGACCCCAAGTGACATTTTACCCTTCTCCCAAAACAACGTATGTGTTAATGTTAACTTGGCTGAACAGACATGTCCCTGGGAAACTTACTGATATTGAATGGGAATCCCCATGTAAATGCAATGGTGTGGCTGAGATTTTACATGCGCATTAGCCAGGCAATTCAGCGCTGGATTTCCCCCACTAGAAGCAGTGAGTGCAGTATGGGATAGTGCGCTTAGAACCACAGGGTTAGGAGGGACCCAAGGGTCATCTAGTTTAACCCCCTGCCAAGATGCAGGATTTGTTGTGTCTAAACCATCCAAGACAGATGGCTCCAGCCTCCTTTGAAAACCTCCAGTGAAGGCGCTCCCACAACCTCCCTAGGCGTCATTCCATTGGCCGATTGCTCTTACAGATACAAAGTTTTTCCTGAGATTTAATCTAAAATTGCTGTGCTGTAGATTGAACTCATCACCTTTTGTCCTGCTCTCTGTGACAAGAGAGAACAACTTTTCTCCATCTTTCTTATGGCAGCCTTTCAATATTTGAAGACCGCTATCATGTCCCCCTCAGTCTCCCCTTTTCCAAACTAAACCTACCCTGTTCCTTCAGCCTTTGCTCATATGACTTGCATTCCAGCCCTTTGAGCATCTTTGTTGCTCACCTCTGGATCCTTTCCAGTTTCTCCACATCCTTTCTATGCATTGGTGACCAAAACTGGACACACTACTCCAACTGAGGCCTAACCAGCACCAAGTAGAGTGGTACTATCACTCCCATGCTATGCCACTGTTAATGCAACCAAAATTGCATTTGCTTTTTTTGCCAGAGCATCACATTGCTGATTCATGTTGAGGTTGTGATCCACCACAACTCCCAGATCTTTCTCAGCAGCGCTGCTGCCAAGCCAGTTATCCCCCATTCTGTATTCGTGCATTTGGTTTTTCTTCCCTAAGTGTAGCACCTTACATTTGTCTTTGTTGAATTTCATTTTGTTGTCTTTAGCCCAGTTCTCCAATTTATCAAGATCCCTCTGAATTTTAGCTTTATCCTCCAAAGCGTTGGCAGCCCCCCCCCACTTTGTGTCATCTGCAAATTTGATCAGTATGCGCTCTATTCCTACATCCTGGTCATTGATACAGATGTTAAACAACACCGGACCCTAGGTAACCCATTCCAGTGCTTCACCACCCTCCTAGTGAAATAGTCTTTCCTAATATCCAAACTAGACCTCTCCCACTGCAACTTGAAACCATTGCTCCTTGTTCTGTCATCTGCCACCACTGAGAACAGCCTTGCTGCATCTTCGTTGGAACCCGCCTTCAGATAGTTGAAGGCTGCTATCAAATCCCCCCTCACTCTTCTCTTCTGCAGATTAAATAAGTCCAGTTCCCTCAGCCTCTCCTCATAAGTCATGTGCCCCAACCCCCTAATCATTTTTGTTGCCCTCCGCTGGACGTTCTCCAATTTGTCCACATCCCTTCCGTAGTGTGGGGACCAAAACTGGACACAATACTCCAGGTGTGGCCTCACCAGTGCTGAATAGTGGGGAATAATCACTTCCCTAGATCTGCGGGCAATACTCCTACTAATACAGCCCAATATGCCGTTGGCCTTCTTGGCAACGAGGGTACACTGCTGACTCATAACCAGCTTCTCATCCACTGTAATCCCCAGGTCCTTTTCTGCAGAACTGCTGCTTAGCCAGTCGGTCCCCAGTCTGTAGCGGTGCATGGGATTCTTCCGTCCTAAGTGCAGAACTCTGCACTTGTCCTTGTTGAACCTCCTCAGATTTCTTTTGGCCCAATCCACCGTTTTCCCCATATTCACAGAGCCAGTTATCTCATCACAGAAGGCAATCAGGTTGGTCAGGCATGACTTGCCCTTGGTGAATCCATGTTGACTGTTCCTGATCACCTTCCTCTCCTCCAAGTGCTTCAAAATGGATTCCTTGAGTACCTGCTCAATGATTTTGCTGGGGACTGAAGTGAGACTGACCGGTCTCTAGTTCCCCGGGTTCTCTTTCTTCCCTTTTTAAAATATGTTTTTTTTAATATGCTAACCCTAACCCTTTGCCCTCCTCTCAATTAAAAACATTAACAACTTCCTGAAATGGTAAAAAACAGAGTATTTGTTATAGGCCCCACCTCCTCAGCAGCCAGGTGAGAGGGACATGAGTGTTTTAAACAGCATTAATGTGTCAAGGAAATGATGTGAGGGTTTCCTTCCAGACATGGCAGAGCAGACCCATTTGCTGCTGGGGCTAGCTGGGTGCATGCCAGCTCCGACTGTATTTTTTTTAAATGTATTATTTAGGTGAACTCAAATAGCTTTTCCTTATTCTCCCCTCCTCCTGAGGATCTCACTGATACCATTGGGCAGTTTGGCTCTGAGCGTATTTCCTCTGGTTTCACTGTTATCCGTCCATGCTTTGTAAAGTGGGTGATTATTCAGGAGAGAAATATCCATCCCAAAGAGCTGCTGCCATCGTACCCCATCAGCCCTGGATTGCTAGGGCCAAAATCCCCTGTCCCTGCTCTTCCTGTTGGGCCCAAAAAGCAAAACCGCTGGGCCTGCGTGGTGCAAGATTTGGCAGTAGTGTCAGTGTGTTTGTGTCTCTCGCATGCTGTGCTCCACAGAGGCTGTATCTGAGATACTATTGAAGGGGTTTCCTGGGGCAGGATGAGGGTTTGGTCAATGAATCCTTGGCTCTCTAGAGCCACTGGCTGCCAAGAATGAGGTTCACAGTGGAGGCTGCTGCCACCCTTTAGTGTCTTAATTGGTGCTCACGGCTTGGAATTACACTCAGTCCCACCCCAGCGCTGCAGTCCTTACTCGATCAAAACTCCCAGAGAAAATACACCAGTGATTATGGAAATACTCCGCTCCCACAAGCCCCTGCACAAACACTAACTCATGTTAGTGACGGGGCAGACGGCATTTATGGTGGAGAAGGGAGTGAGATCAGGGAGGCCGTGTGCATGGCTCACCTCTGACATATGTTTTATGCTGGTGTAACTCCATTGTCTTCGGGGGTGTTATTCTGACTTGTTCCAGTGTGAGAGGAGAATCTAGCAGTAGAGGTTTAAAAATTAAAGCCCTGTAAACTAGAACGCTCCCATGGGTCTCCCAGGGTATCTGCAGCCTTACACCTTGTATCATCATTTGCTCTTGAGCAAAGTGACTGTAAAATGCCCATTCTGAGTCCGTGGAGTCTACACTCTGGCCCATGCAGCAAGTGAAAATTGGGCCTCGTACCTGTTGTTGCTGAGGACTTTTAATTCCAAGGATTTTTCTGGCTTTTAAAAATCGCACTGTTGCTTATTCCAGATGAGCTAAGAAATGATGTGAGGATGCCATCCAGCAAGGTTCATCAATCCTTAGGGCCCTCCAAGATGCCTGAAGGATTCCAGAGCAAAGTTGTGGCCCCTCGTAATCCTAAACTTGTCAGAGAGGAAGAAAAGGCTGTTACTGTAAGTACCTAACACATGGCTAGAATATCCGATCAACATCAGCGGTGGGGAGGGACCCCATAGTGCCAGTTCCCACCCCCCACCTTTCCCACAAAGAGGCGGAGGAGGTAATCCCCCCTTTTGTTTTGTCTTCTGACTTCAGGAAGCCACGTCTATGGGATCCAGGATCAATGGATGAGGAAGGGGTGGGTAAGAGGAAAGGAGTGGGAGGATTCTCATCAGCCCTCACCACAGACCTTGCAGTAAAGGAGAACCCCAGCACAACAGCCATCTCCTCAGAGTTTAAACTGGAAGCAGGTCCTTAACTAGTGGAGTGATTCTGGTGATTGGTGCAGTAGGAACTTGCTATGCAAGCCATAGCTTATGAGACTATTCCTGTTAGGCTCAACTCATCCCACCCTGCTGTAAGATCCAGCAGCCCTGGGGAATTTGCCTGGTGTAGGGGCTTCTCCAGCTGGCGCCAAGACACCATAATGGCCCTACACCTATCCCTGCACTAGCCCTTGGGGAATGTCAAGGATGATCTGGGAGAGAAGGGAGCCTGGCCTGAGTGCCACTGCACTCCAGCTATTCCTGGCTGATGTAGTAGCCCCTAAGTGCCTTTGGCAGCTGGGCATAAGTTTGGGTAGTCTTCAGGCTCCTGTAATCTGTGCCCAGGGTTGAACCAAGTCCAGAATAGAGGAACACAGAAATGACATCATGCCAGCTTGCCCTCTCATGAACCCTGTGCCAACCTCAGTTCCAGTGCAGGGATCCACTGGGCCACTGACTTCATGTCACGTGAAGTGAGGACTAATCACGTTATAAAGGGCTTGTAGGGTCAGGGGTCAAATCCAGCCCCTTTTACCCACATGTTTAGTGAATGGGGTTTGCTGTTTGAGATAAGGTGAGCAGGATTCAGCCCAATGCTAGCTCATACCATGGAAACAGCTCTTTAGAGCTCCAACAAGAAGGCAATAAGGACAAAGCAAGATCAGACAACTGCTGATTAAAATTAGATGATCTAATCTTGGGCCTTTCCTTGAACCTTGTCGCTCCATTTCTTTTATGCTTTGCCTTGACAATTCCCTCAGAGAAGTTGTCCCTACATGGGCCTTTGCGTGAGCATTGTGTAAAATTGTAGCCATGGGATTTTACAGGCTGTTTTCTTTTCAAGTCACGTGCTTGAGCCAGCAAAGTTAAAGGAACACCCCCCCGCCCCCAACAAATCAAATTCCTCAGCCAGATGTCATTTCCAATCATGGCTGACAGAGAGACAAACAGGGCGGAATCTCTCAGGTAGTGCATGTATATTCTGCTCGGTATAATTAATTTACCAGTTTTAAATATTTCAGCAGGGAACTTAGTGGAGTTCCAGGACTGCCCTAACGGCTGAGAACACAAATTATTTATCAGCGGCACTGTAACAAGAAAAGCCATTTATATAGCTCTGGCTCCTGTTGTTTTGAATTGCAGCTGACTCCATCTGCCTTCCTAAAGGAGATGTCTCTTACTACGGAGCAGAAGCTGGCTAGTACTCATGAGATGCGGCCACCTCGGATTATTGAGCTTTTAGACATGAGTGAAACCTCCCATCAAAAGGTAGCACTTCCCTGCCCTTCCTTCCAGCTCCCTTTTTCTTTCTATTTGATGTGATGTTTACAGTGATGGAGTACATGGGATTCAACTTGTTTAAATCCTGCACACACTGGGCCTGACTGTCCTCTCAATCACTGATTTCAATGGAGCTACTCCTAGTTTACACTGGTGTAAGTCAGAGGGGTCTCAGGCTCCATGTCTTTTGCGGTCAGAGGGCCAGATTCTGATCTTGTTTCCACCAGTATGAATGCAGAGAATTCAGTTGAAATGAATGGAGTTTGTCTGGATTTTCATTTCTTCTTCTTTGAGTGATGGTCTCTATATGTATTCCAATCATGGGTGCACATGTGTGCCATGTGCCAGAACTGGAAGTTTTCATAGCAGTGACTGTTGACTCGCATGTGCATCATGCGTTTCCCCAAGTTCTCTAGCATTGGAACCGGCGGTGCAGTGTCTGTCACTGGTGGTGAGTGCACCTTCCAGCACTTCCCATGCTTTGGACCTGGCAGTTGTGGACAGGCTGAGGCATGAGAGCAGAAAGCACTCTCATCGGCATAGAAGCAAGTCCCCATCGAGGGCAGCATTTCCTCCCCGAGCCGTGCCAGGTCAGGTGACATGTTGCGTGCTGACACTGCTGCACTTACACCCAGGCTTCCTCGTCTTGAGGGTGAGAGTAAGAAGAAAAAGGATCCAGCGGCCCTGTCGATGGCCCCGATACCCACCGGCCCTGTGCCGTCTCCTGCATTTGCACCGCCTATCCCACTGCTATTTCCGAAACCTTCAGTGCAGCTGTCTCCAGGGACCCCACCACGGTCTTCAGCAGCCTCCAGAGGCACTCCTCGGACCCCTGGCGGTCTGGAGCCCTTTCTCTCCATGGAGGAACTGGAGCTTCCCATACCCACCTTTGCCACTGCTCTCCGGCCCATCACTGTGGAGACAAGCTGGTCCTGCTCCAGCTGGAGAGGGTCATGCCCACACTACACCATGGTCCGTCCGCACTGCTGGCTCCCCCGCTGCTGAAGGCATCTTTGGACTCCGAGGGCTTTTCTGAACCAGAGCCAACATTTTCTCCAATATCCAGGCACAGCTCTGACTCTTGCTCCCGACTGCCTCCACTACTCCTCTGCGGTGTCATAGTTTCACATTGCCAACTATCAGGCTCTGCTGGCAAAATACAATTTTTACACCTACACTTGCAGAGTTCAAGGACAATCTACCCCAAGACCAGCAGCAGCAATTGCAGGCGCTGGTGGATGAAGGGCACCCTTGTAGATGAAGTCAGCCTCCAAATGGTGGTCAATGCAGCTGACACATCCTCGTGCTCACTGGCCAAAGGCGTCCTCATGCACTGCGAGTCCTGGGTACAGTCCTCTGGTTTCCCTCGAGAGGTACAAATGACCACAGAGGACCTCCCCTTTTACGAGGACAAGTTGTTCTATGCTAAGACTGACGAGCACCATCACTCGTTAAAGGACTCGAGGGCTACGCTGGGGATCTATACTCCAGCCGTCAGCACAAACAGCAGCTCCAAGAATTCCACCCCCGGCCATATGCACCCTACCCGCTGTATTAGCAGCGGCACCAGGAACCCCCACGCCAGCACCACCAGTCCCAGCGTCAGCGACCTATGACCTCAGCCACAGCCATTTCCTCGACTCTCACCCACCGGCAACCCAAGGCACGCTTCTGATGTGTCAGTTGAGAGCTGTGAACCCTCCCCCTTGCCATCCGTGGCCCCACACATCTTCTTTGGGGGCCGTCTTGCCCTATTCACCCACAACTGGGACAAGATCACCGTGGACCGTGGGGTCCTGGAAATAATCCACCATGGACACTCCATAAAATTTCTATCATTTCCCTCACCCCACCCCCACCCAGACACCTCCAGGGGACCCTCCCCATCAGTGCCTTCTCCAACAAGAAGCCGAAGCTCTTCTTGCAACGGGCACCATAGAGACCGAAGGCTTCTACTCCCCTTACTTCCTCATACCCAAGAAGGATGGAAGTGCTGCCCCATTCTAGACCTGTGCATACTAAATAGCTTTATCCGAAAGTCCAAATTATGTATGGTGATGCTGGCTTCTATTATCTCCTTCCTCTCCCCCCCACTGGAGCCTGGTTCTCAGCCCTTGACATGAAGGATTGTGTTCAGGTTACGGGGAACCAGGTGAACTAATTCGGATGGGGCCAGGCACTATTTCTCTCACCAGGCGTCAGGCCAAGGTGAGGATACTGGGAATCAGGCAGGTCACAGTACATAGGGCTGGGCGAGCATTCCAGGCTGCAGCCAGGTAGAGCCCAATTGTGCAGATAACTTCCTGTGCCTTCCTTTGGGTTTAAATAGGAAGCTCTGACCAATCAGATGTCCCATTGTTTCTCCAGTCAGGGCCTAGGGGAGGCCTTCCTGATATAGGTTCAGGTTTCATGGTCTCTCTGTAGGTTGTTTAGTACCAAGCTGCTGGGTAAGACAAGGAGGTGAACCCAGGTTGCAGACCTTCAGGGTCATGATACCATGGAGGTTGCATAGGGGAATGCCCCTCTGACAGCTTGGATGCATGCTCAGCAGGATAAACGTTTAAACTTGGTTTCTTGCTCACTATGTAATACCTATTCCAAGAGGATACATTACTGAAGTGTTCTACAGAGCAGAAAATCCCCAGCCGAAACCTGTAACAAATTGGTTGAGAACTATCCTAAATAGCACAGGAAACTTGGAACATATCCAAACTCCAGGGACCAGAAATAATTGACAGCACACACTGACAATCCTCCCCCACCCATGGAGGAAAACCTGGCCCCACTACAGTCAATGGCAAAACTCCCATTGACTTCAGTGGGGCCAGGGTTTCATCACGCAAGCCTTCTCTGTCTAGACCAGTGGTTTTCAACCTGTAGTCTGTGGGTCCGCAGACCATGTCTAAGATTTCCACAGGGGTCTGCACCTCCATTTGAAATTTTTTTAGGAGTTCACAAATGAAAAAAGGTTGAAAACTACTGGTCTAGACTCAGATGTCCCTCGAGGGTCTTGGTGCAGGATGCCTCTTTATTAGAATGTGGAGATGGTACCTGCCTAGACAGATTAAAATATTTAGGGTAACCTAAGAATCTCCTCCTAATATGTGCTGCTTTGCCCCACAACCCGCTGCTCTTTGTGTCAGTGCACGTTGCTGGACATGCTCAAAGAACAGCGTGAAACAACACAGGCTTGAAAGGACAAAGTTGAGTACTCCTTGCTCTGGTTTAAAACTCACCAGAAAAGATTATGTAACCAAAGTTCTGTCCTCATTCAAATCCTCCAGTGACACCAAGGTAATGTGAAATCATATAGCCTTGTCCTCTGTCATCTTTTGTTGAACTCTGAACAGCTGCTGCATTGCTTCTCTCGGTCGCCTTCCTTACTGACAATAAAACTCTCTGCCCTCTAGTCTCCTGGGCCAGATCTTCAAAGGCATTTAAGTACCTTACTCCCATAGGATCCTCCCAGATCCTCAAAGGCATTTAGGCACATAACTTCCATGGGATCCCCAAAGGCATTTAGGTGCCTAATTCCCATGCCTTACTCCTATGCAAGTTAGGCATTTTAAATATCTGAGGATCTGGACCCTGATGTCTTTATATCCGGGTGAATGCAGGCTATAAAGTCAATGAGCAACAGTCATCTCTAGAGTATCTCCATTGGGGTCCTCTGTAAATTCATTGATCTCAGTTGTTCCACGGCTCTTTTGGGGAGTGTTCACTGCAAACCTTATATAATTGCTTATAGAGATGGTCTAGCTTGCATCCTGCTAAAGAGCAATGCAGAATTTGCATTCATGACCCCATTCCTCCCAGCATTTCTGTGTCTATTTACTGAGTGTCTCTTTACATCTTTAGTTCTCTTCAGTTGACCTGGAGCAGAGCTTGTTTCAGCCCTACCCATCAGAGGTGGTATTTCAGAACTATGCCCCTTGTGAGATCTATGAAGTCCCGCTGATTCTAAGGAACAATGACAAGGTAAGAGCCATCACTTGGACCTTTACCAGTCTATGGTGTTGTCTAATTTCTGTAGGTTGTGTACTGCACTGATCACCGTGTTATCAGCTCAGTGTTGGAGCACGACATACAATAAGATGCTTCTGATAGCTATAGTTACAAAGTGACTGTAACCTACCAGCTAAATTTGTGCTCCTAAGTGCCTGATGCTTCAGTGTGTAGCACACACATTTTTCTGCATCTTAAAACTCTGATTTGTTGATGCAAATGGATCTTGCACCCCTATCCTGGGTACTTAGATGTTTAACTACTGCACTGGAAGGCATAAATGCCAGTTGACATTGAAAGGCTTCATGTGAAGGTGTGAGCCTGAAAATCAAACTTTCAGACTGACTAGGTCTAATCTTTCTCATTTGTGTGACCTGCTTTGTGACTGTGTTGCCTAAGGGGGGTAGTATTTGGATTAGGATCCAAATTAGGTTTACTCTGGGTTAAGGGGCCAAAGCTGAGTTAGGGCAAGGTTTGTGTTTGATGGTGCCAAAATTTCATGAATTGTTCTGAACCAGAGTCCAAATGTCGCTCTGGTGGAAGGAGGTGCAAGCTCATTGTCTCCATTGGGGGCTGTTCCTCTGACACCAGGACTGGAACAGGCCCCGGGACTGGGAGAGGAGTGTCTTTCTGGTATTTGGATCTACAACCCAAGCCAAAGGAGCAGGTTCAGTGTGGGGATAGGCTCAGAACCGCCTTTTCTCCTGAAATCCAAAGGGAACCCGTTCTTAGGGTTTGGGTTTGGCCTGTCCTTGCTGTAGCTGCCCCGCACAGTGAGAAAATACCATTTATAAAGTGGTGGTAAACAGCTCCCTGCTTCCTTGATGTAGGCCCTTATCCTTTGATGTGCCAAGTGCCCATTTTTATGACTTTTTAAAGCTCACCTCTTCCTTTTCAAGGCTAATTTTGTCCTCCTTTTTGGTCCCCTTTGTTGACATGGGCCTTGACAGGAAGTGCAGGACATCTTAGGCTTGCCATGTGATGAACTGAAAGAAGAGTTTCCTGCTTGCTGATAACACTCACCCATACACCTCTCATTCCATGGACTCTGCTTAGTCTCTGCTTGAACCACGCAGAGGGGCCTTGTCTCAACCCAGGGAAGATGGAAGTCTTGGGAGGGGTTCTTGGCTCGCTCCTCCTTTGTGTCCCCGCTCATGGAGGGGTCTGTTCCAAAGTAGTTAGCCCGATTAAGAACCACTTTTGGTGATTTCCTTCCTTTGGAGAGCTATGTTTCTAAGGTGGTGCCAGAGTGTTCCGGGCTTCAGCCTTGCACATGCTGTGGCCTTCTCTGTCCTCCCATGGCCAGGGAACAACAGCACGAGCCCATGTGGCCAGAAGGCTCAATTCCTGCCAGTAATTTCCTCTTTGCAGCATTCCCAGTAGGGCTTCTCTGCTACTCGCAGCTAGTGTGCAGCATGCCTGACTGATCAGCCGTACTCTGACTACACCCACCACATGTTCCCTGCCTGCCTACTAAGTGATGGATTGGCATGAACCAAGAGCATCCTGGCTCTGGTCAAGACCTTTTTTAACCTTGTGCTTTAGATGCCAACATTCTTTTTGGGGTTCCACCAGGCCCCCTGGGGTCAGCAGGTTACCATGCTGCTGTGTAGTGACTCCTAGGGTGTCTCAGCTCATCTTCCCCTGGTCTGCAAATGCTCCGTGTTGACAGGTGTCTTCTATTTTACTCAAGAATGGCCACAGTGGGGCCCCAGCCCTGGTGTCCTCATCCCTGCTTGTTAATGTCAGGATCGTTCACTTGGATTGTGTCTTAAAATAGGTGATTTCCTTCACGCTTATTCCCTCTCTGTAATTAATCTGATCTCTTCACATTGATGTAATCCGTTTACCAGCCTCTGTCTCTGCATCATTACTCAACTGGGGATGGATGAGTCAGCCTCAGCTCACATAGGCTCTCCCTCCCCTTTGAAGTGTTCCCGATTTGTACGGGGCCAAATCACTGCGCCAGCAATGCACCTCACTGAATGACTCCGAAGTCAGCTGACCCTACTGGATGATGTGGAGCTGCTGGGGGTGGGGAATTAGGCAGAGGAGCTCCCTTCCCCTGCCCATAGCAGCCCTGTCTCAATCCTGACTCTGTCTGTCAGTCCGTGATGTGGCAGAAGTCCGTGCCACCCTAGGGCTGCCTCTCCTGCATGGGGAAGGGAGAGTTCCAGGTATTGTGTTACAGGAGAGGCTGGGTTGGTGGGAGTTGCTGGAGGAGATTCTCCCATACCCTGTGATTTCCTTCGGGGAGATCTTCCTCCCAATGGCCTCTTCTCCTCTCCCCACTGACAATCCTGTTTCAGAGCTGTGTTTCTTGAGCCATGTGGCCTGTTCATGCCCCCTGGCTGTCACTCACCTGGGGAGGAACCTGTCTGCTTCCCTCTGGGACAACAGCATGGCCCGGCCTACCTGACGTCTTCCGCCACCACCCGATTGCCAATAGAAATAGGGCTGGGCTTAGCCTGTGACTGGTCCAGGTCAGGATACCCAGACATGCTTGTGGCTGCAAAGCCTCCCCATTGCATGTGGTTGCTATGCGCTCTGCTCCCCAGACTCTCTTGCTGGGCCCAGAACTGACCCACAGTTTGTAATGTTAGTCTCTTTTGAGAGGTGAGTTAGTAACTTATGCAGTCTCTGCATTGAACTGACATGTCTTCTCAATCACTAAGAGCAAGTACAGGGACTGATTCCCCTCTCACATACACTGGGGTAAGATGAAATCAGTCCAGAACTGCTCATTGAAATCAGAAATGGGAACAGACTGACTTACCGGCAGCAGCAGAATGCCTTTGAATTGCATGCTTATGAACAGATTTCAGAAGCCCTCTCAGTGCCACGCCTTTTCTGAGGGGAGTGGCTCTGTTTTACCTTCAGAGTGCTCACACAGTGTCTGCCTTTGCTTGAAAGAACTTTGCGATCGTTTTGAGATTTCCCTGAGAGGAGTGGGAGGGGGGAGGCAGTTGAAAGATCTCAGCGATTTTGAACCATTGATTTATAATCAGGACTGAAAAGGGAGAAAACGAGGACTTGAAATTTCAGCAGAGAATAAGCTTGCTTGAAGGAGGTGTATGCCGGAAAGAATCCCATGGGAAAAGATAGTGAGAAGGAGGGAGAAAGCGAGCTGAATTAGAAAGTGTTCCAGGACGCCCCAGGGTTTTCTTTGACAAAGTGTGAAAAGTAATCAGAGATCCAGTCCTGTAAGGAAAAGGCATATTAGTGATAAACCTTCAGGTGCAAGGAGGATGGAAAAGTGTATAGGAGAGAGTGGAAAGGAACAAATCCTTCTCCAGCTCTAATTGTAAAATACGACAGATCAGAGGATGAAATGAAGCCTGCCCGAGAGTAATGGCTAACGAGAAGCTCTGCTGTTATGGAGGCAGTAGGAGGTCGTGGAAGGAGTCCTAGGGCCTCCTGGAGCAATTTGATGACAGGAATACAAGGAATACTGCGGGAAATGCTGTGTTGACAAGGGAGGCTAAAGGGAACTAGTGCTAGAGAGTGTCCCAGGAGAGGAGAAAGATGCTGTGAGGAGCTTAGGGCTACATTCATTTTGGTAGTGGAGGAATATTGGAAATATGGCTGAGCCGTGACACGTGGATTCCCAAAACAAAAGGGAAGGAGCTTCCTCGAGAGATTGTTTATGATCTACAGTATAATCCCAATTTTTACTTGGGTTGACCCTACCTGTATACACTTCTCCAACAAACCCTGCCTCAGTTCCCCTCTTCAACCACTTCTCTGCTGCATTCCCCTACAGTTGTCCTTTGGAGGACAGGCATACCATTGCAACAGCACTGCTTCAGAGTGATGTAGATGTGGCTGCAAATGATGTTCATCTTTGCCAAATACCAGCCAGCAGACAAAGAGTTAACTCTTCTTTTTAAGTGGAAAAGAACGTCTGCATAAATATGTCTGCAGCTCCCAGCTGCAACTTGTACAGTTGCAGCTGGGGAGGTATAGTTATGGGAGGGAGGGAGAGACTGTGTGTGAATGAGACAGTGTGGAATTGTTGCTGTTCCAAAATGAATCTGTTTTGGAAGCTAGTGAGACCTCAGTGAGACAGCACTGGTGTAATAGGGACCCTGACACATACTGTAGCATTAACAGTCGTGAAGATTCCACATGCATCTTTGGGTATGTCTACACTACGAGAGTAGTTCGATTTTAGTTAAATCGAATATGTGCAATCGATATTAGAAAGTCGAACGTGTGTGTCTACACTAAGGACAGTAATTCGACTTTGTCAGTCCACACTACCAGGGAAAGCGTCGACATTGGAAGCAGTGCACTGTGGGCAGCTATCCCACAGTTCCCGCAGTCCCCGCTGCCCAGTGGAATTCTGGGTCGAGCCCCCAATGGCTTCTGGGTAAAAAATTGTGGCGAGGGTGCTTTTGGGTAACTGTCGTCATCCGTCAGTCACTACCGCCCTGCCTCCCTCCCTGAAAGCGCCGGCGGGAAATCAGTTCGCGCACTTTTTGATCAGTGACAGCGCGGACGCCACAGCACTGCGATCATGGATCCCGCTGCGACCATCGCTGCAGTTGTGGCCGTTCTCAACGCCTCGCACCTTATCATACACCTTTCCCAGAGGCAGATGCAGAGAAATCAGGCGAGGAGGCTACGGCAGCGGAGTGAGGGCCTGAAGTCGGAGAGTAGCACAGAGCTGTCAGAAACCACGACACCCAGCGCCGAGGACATCACGTTTGCAATGGGGCATGTGGATTTTGTTGAACGGCGATTCTGGGCCCGGGAAACAAGCACGGACTGGTGGGACCGCATAGTGCTTCAGGTCTGGGATGAATCCCAGTGGCTGCGAAACTTTCGCATGCGGAAGGGGACTTTCCTGGAACTTTGTGAGTTGCTGTCCCCTGCCCTGAAGCGCAAGGACACCCGCATGCGAGCAGCCCTGACTGTCCAGAAGCGAGTGGCCATAGCCCTCTGGAAGCTTGCAACGCCGGACAGCTACC